TAAATTATTAAATTAAGCACAGGTAATAAAATTCCCTTTATTCGTAAAGATACTTTGATGTACTTTATGCGGGAGGATGCTACACATTGGGAGACAATAGATACATACACACCTTTAGAATATCAATACATATATTGATTGTCCAAACACACCCAAAATCCAAATAATATGCTAAAATTAATACACTGAACTGATTCTGCGATTGGTTCCTTGTGAAACATTATTAAATATTTTCAGTATATGAAGGGCTTTTTAATGGTTCAAAAATATTTTATTAGAAACTCTATACGTGTTTCGGCTTTTTATGCCTTTGTTAAGAGTACAGGGAATACTGAACAGTAAAATTTGTGTTCATTGTTTATATAACCACATATGGTACCTACTATAAAACTATTGTAAAATATGTTTTTATAAGTTGAATATTACTTTATTTTTTAAATCTAAATTATTTTATTTAAAATATGGTGGCCGCTAAATATTTGTTGTTCATTCATTACATTTTTATTATTTTTACCAGCTTTACTTATTTCTAATTGTTCTAATAGATCAAGTTTCTTTCCTCTCTTTTCCGAATGGAGTAATTTGACATGATTTAAATCTATAAAATGACTGTTTTCTATACAATATGTTGACATGCCCGTGTTATATATATTGTTTACAATAGATTTCTTGTATTGCTCGAATCGCTTTTTTACATTTCGTACAGTTTGTTCAATGTATATAGCATCACAGTCACTACATTTTAACTCATATACTCCTGTTTCTTGTAGCTTTTCAGTTTTGTCTTTATTATTAATTAACATTTTACCTAAATTATTTTTATTTACTGAAATTGTTCTACATCCCAGTTTATTCAGTTTATTACTAACTCTATTGCTGATCTTAGGCCTATAATTATTACATTTATATCTATTATTTCATTCCTGAGAAGAGCCGGCATAAAACTCTTTACGTAAATTTTTCATTTTTATTAGATTATCTATTAGGTTTTCTTTCTTGCCATTGTTTTTCGCAATTTCTTTAATTACGTTAACTTCTTTTTTTAAATTCTCTTCGCTTAATGGAAATGTTAATGTATGTAGCTATGGAATGGTGCCATTTTTATTTGCAATGATTGTTTAGATTTACTATGAATTATTCTATCTGTGCAAGTAGGTTTACGATAAATGTCAAATTCTAAACTGTTGGTGATATTTTTTATATTAATGTCTAAAAAGTTTAAACCCTCGACATTTTCCATTAAATAAATTCTTAGGTCTTCTAAATTCACTTAATCAGAAAATTCAATTCACATTAGAAATAGAAAATGACGAGGGTTTAAACTTTTTAGACATTAATATAAAAAATATCAACAATAGCTTAAAGTTTGAGATTTATCGTAAACCTACTTGCACAGATAGAATAATTCATAGTAAATCTAAATAGTATAATTTAGCAGTTTGACATTTGAAATGTCTAATTTAGTTATAAAAATGTCAGTGTCAATAAGAAGAAATTATTAAAATATATGACATTATTGACATTATCGAAGAATGCTGATAATTAATTATTTAAAAATTGTAATGAAACATTTCAAGGTATGCTAAGTGAAAAATTAAATATAATGATTTTTTTAGATCAGGATAATATATACTAGCATAAGAAAGTTATGTGCTGGCCACATCAGATATTTTTCTGTTTAAAACACTTGCATTTAATAACGAAACTTACAAATGACAAAAATGTCAAAATTGTTTACGCCCTGAAATTAGATAGACATCAAATTTACGATGTCATATTTACCATTCGCTCATTATAACGTATTATCAATTCGATAACGAAGATGAGTCAAGAATTGCAAAATTCCAAGGTCCTGATTAAATGCCATTCGTTTTCTAGTGAATATGCAATATAGTGAAGAAAGTCAAGAATTGGTTCCCTGCTGTTAAAACAGAGAAATAATTGCCAAGGTAATATTAGCGTTTCTGTCATGGGACACTTAGGGGGAAAACTACTTCCCTTGCGAGAAGAGGAACTGTGGTTTTGTAAATCTTTGTGTCTCTGTCACTAGTCATCTGATTTTAATTTTACTTTCCTTATCTGAAAGCTCATTAGACTTACCTACTACTTTGAACATAATGTTAATTTTTCTATATATTCTTTCTAAGTTTGTGCATCTATTTTCAAGAGCGTTATATTTTTGTATTAAATTATTTATATTGCTTGTATTCTGAATAATAATAAAGTTTAAATACATATATCCAATACATGGTGTTAAAGACAGTTTTGCAAAGAACATGATATATATTGTTCTACTGTATTTTACATGTTTATGGTATAATTCTGGTTTTGAAATGTTTGGTACATATCATAACATTTATAACTTTTATTACAGTTTTTCACCTAAACGGAATAATAAAATTTTGGTTTCTAAAATAAATAAATGGCAATTTTTGAATAGAAATCAACGCTGGAACAAGACATTGATTCAGTTTTAAGTGTTTTGAGTTATAAGGTTTAAAAGTCTCGATGAGACGTCTAAAACTCGTATATAAAGCACTACTATTTAAAGACCTTATTTTAAAATTACTGTTGTAAACATTCGCAATATATTAAAAAATTATATCGATTAACACTTATTTAAATAATTTTCTTTTGTATATTTCAGTGTTTTTTCTTAATTTTTTTATACCACACCAATAATACACGTTTCTCGTGCGGACATTTTTACACTTTATAACTGTAATTTTAAGTACTATTTTAACACGTCTATTGAACCGCAGTGTTTGGGTCATTTATTGAGATTTTATTTTCAGTTTGAGAGGATTAAGTAGATATTTACAGAAGAAAGTCTACATTAGTGGATCAAGCGCCGATATTCAGAGAAAATAGTCGAAGTTCCTGTGACTCGACTCTAATTTCTGGTGAATGCGCCACGACCACATGGCTCGGTCAGAATTATATAGATCTGCAATCATCTGTGAATGTTAAAAGTTTTGTTACTCCTTGACAAGAACTAGTGTTTGACTTTGTTTTATTCTGACGTTGATTGTCAAGTACTTCTCCTGGTTTTTTTTTTTTTTTAATTTTTCATCATTTTTCGTATAACTTTGTGGTTGACTGTATAATCTTAGACAAAAAGCTTTTGTCACATACATAAACCTATTTCTCTTAGAGACGCTAACCTAACGTAACTAGGATTACTTAATTATAATTTTTTAAATTAATTTTTATTTCAGAAATTTTTATTAAATTAAGTTTAATTTCTTGTTGAGGTTTTCTACCACATGAACGTAACTTCCTAGTTTTACAGAAACTTAAAAATTAGGGTTGCTGAGTATGCTGGGAAAATAAACCATTACTCTATGACAAGGGGTGTTCTTCCACAGATAATATATTAAAAAAAAATCTTGTACAACGTTTCGGAAATGAAATGTTTCAGTTTTGTAATCTTTTAAGTCGTTTTGTGAAGAAAAAATTGTAACCAGAGTTGATAAGAGCATTTTTGACTAAATCCGCTTAGTTGGGTAGTGCTAGTCTGCTGAATCGCCATTGTTTTCCTACTATGACAGCACTATAAGGCTAATCTAGTTTTTTTTATTCTATTCTTAACCCAATAGTCACCTAAGTAACCCCCTAAAAACCGGTGATCTTATCTTAGGTAAAGAGATACGAAGTTTTAGAGTTTATTGTGGAATCCGAACCAAATCCAACGCGTCGACAGTTCTATACCTTATCTGAGTAGTAAACAAATTTTAAATAAATAAATTTTCAATTTGCTCCGGGATAGATTCGGACCATCGATTTTCGCTACCAAGTAAGTAAATAGGAGCTCTAACCCACTTAGCTACAGTGCCGTCATTTTATTTGGAAATCTAACAATTAGACGGTCAGCGTAGCTACCGCAATTCGATCAAATCAAACGAATGAAACCCCTGAGGATTTACCTTGGATACCAACAAATTCACTTGCTGCCAGTTGACACTTTTGTTCATCACTTTTACCATCGGTGAATTTTGTAGCTTCCTTTATTGGTTTGTTTGATTTACGCGAATTTAATAACAGATATCAGATATTTTATGTCAGTTTTGACAACTTATTGATATTCACAAGTTCAAGTTAGTAATTCACAAATTAACAGAAGCGCCATTCTAAGGCAGGCTATAGCAACTAAGTAGAAATTGCAGAATCCTACAACACATTTTCTGGTTTCGATAGACTAATATTAATAATATATTTAAAGCCGGCCCGTTATAATACAATCTATCATACGTTGGTGAGGGGTATGGTGTAACTTACAAAGACTTACCTCTTATATCATGTCCATTAACAGCTATTTGTGGTTGTCAGTATATACTTGCATCATTAATAAATCTTCTATAGCATCTTCTGCTGTTTGTGCAGCCAGATGTATATATTTTATTTTTATTTTAAAATATCTCTTTTTTGTAACCTCAGAAAACGCCTAGGAAAATGCAAAAATATGATTTGCATACATTTTTCTATCAAGTAACTCTAACCCTGTTAATTTAACAATAATTACGATTAGTGTAAATGACAAATTTATATTTTATATTTTGCACAGATAAACTTACTTACTTTTCAGGATCACAAGGAAAAGAAAAAATGCAATGTTTCAGTGAACCTTCTATTTTCGAAGCTTTTGTAACAAAAAACGTAATCTTCTTTTTTTTTACCGCGTCTATCACACCACGTTAAAGAACACACAAACAAAATATATAAATACACACTACTAAAAGCACAGTAAAACTAATAAAAGTGTCTATAACATGTAACGGAGTAACCGCATTTACAGGCCACCGATTAACCTATTGAAATGCATTTTTCTCGGCGCATGTCGTACGTTGTCCTTTACATTCACAGGATAGATTGAATTCCAACTTGATAATAATAAACACCACAGAAATTAGACAACCCCTGAATCCAAAGCCGAAGCTCTCTAGAAAGGGATTATACATAGAAAAATGTGGACTTATAACCATTCTCACCGACATTGCCAGTGCCGTTGGTGAGATTCGAACCCGCAGCTGTGATAGAAAGATTTCTAGTCACACATCATCGCGCGCTCTAGCCAACTACGCCACCGAGCTAGTTAATTACCCAGCTAACTAGATTTAGCTGACTGTGGTAGTGCTTTTCTAGAAAATTGGGACTGTTTCTTTTTCACACCACTAAGTTAATTTATACTAGCAATAACAACAATCAGACATTTTGTTTACGATTTACGAATAAATTAGTTAAAAATTTTTTAAATTAAAATAAGTAATTGTAACTCATATTAACTAATTAAACTTTATATAGAAAATGGCAGTAATTACTTACGTGAAATTTGCAAAGCTTAATATCATTTCTTTATTAATTCCGATGTTCATCACTAACAAATATTAAAATGAAGGAAAAGTGACGTAGTGAACCTTCGTTGAAAAGTCCTTTTTGCCACCGTAACCGTTTCTGGGAAGCATCAACACATTTTTAAATTGCTTTCTCGCTTAATATTCAAAGTTTTACCAACTGAAATAATAAAGAGCGAATGGAAAGCAAATAAGCTCGGTCTGTACTGAAAAGATTTTTTATTTTCTTCAAAATACTATTATTAAAGTAAGGTCGGCCTAAATTTGTTTACTATCAGTTGAATAATGAGATCTAAAAGCACATCCCTTTTTTCTTCGTGAATTGAAAATGCATACAATGTAAATTTTATGTTTTCTGAAATACCACAGGTTTAATTAACTTTTCAGAGAAACAGGCTAGGCACACCAGATCAAATCCTCATAAACACAAGTTTATTAAACTTTTATTTGACATTAATACTACGGAAATAATATTATGCTTTGCAAACATCAATGTTAATTTTTAGTTGTAACAATGTTACCATTTTAACGATAATTACGTTATTTCAGCAATTTTATTTTTAATAAAAAATTATTAAATTGAACGAGGCAGGTTTCTATACACAAGCACAAGCAGATGATTTGGCTATCATGATAAGAGGTCAATTGGAAGTGACTGTTTCAGGGCTCATGCAAAGGGCTTTCAATATAGTTCAAATCTGGTGTTATAGAGATGAGCTCACTGTCAATCCCCGCAAGGCAGAGCTAATGCTATTTACTAAAATAAGAATACTTTCAGACTCTTTCTGGGTTGAGCCTGACCCGTACAGTAAAATATTTAGAGGTAACGATAGATTCTAAACTGTCGTAAAAGGATCATGTGGAAATTTAATTCAACAAGAAAAGCTTGCGCATCTTTATGGATGTGTAATCGTATTTTCGGATCTAAAGGGATATAAACTCAAATACTACTCTTTGGATGTACTTAGCGATGGTAAAACCCATCAATATTCGCGACCTTGCTGTGGTGCTACTCATTGGAACGTTCCATAAACAGGGCTCGTTTAAGTCAAGTTCAAAAATTAGCCTGTTTAGGGATAACATGAGCAATGAGGACTACTCCAACAGTAGCGATGGAAGCCATTCTGGGCTTTACACCACAGCACATTGCAATAGAACTTGAAGCCAAGAAAGCAACTAACAAATTGCTGAAGAATGAAATGTGGAGTATGACAGATCAGGGGCTCGTGCATACAAAGGCTCTAGCTCTACCACTAAGAAACCAGATCGTCTGCCAGATGACAAGTGCCTTCTAATATCCAATACTATTTCATACGCAGTTGTTTTCCCTAGTAGAGATGATTGGGACCACAATAAAATAAAATTCTAACGGTTATAGAAGACACCTGGGGTTTTCGACGTGCTGCCAAAACATATTTACCTGTTCAGCAGGCGATATGCCTGAAGCTCAGTGACTGCCTCTACATCAGTACCGCGCTAGCCTCCTCTTCTGATGTCAAATACGAGACCTAGCTCATCTTCGGCTCTTTTTGTTGTGTTTACAATTCTGTGTCCACTAATGCTCCTGCATGATGTTTTATAAACCGCAAGAGAGAACCTGGGCTCCTGAGATAATGTACACGCCATAATATGTACTATTCTGCTACGCGTGCACTCCAGGCTCAAGAGTTCACAGCCCTCTGTTGACGTGGAAGGTACACACGAAGAACGGACTTTTTTTCGGTAGAACCGATGCCAGATTCATGGACTCCGACACCTCACGGGAGTAACGCCGGTGAATTATCTACAGCGACTCCCCACATCCCGCAAAGTTAGTGATTATAGATCCCAGAAGCATGTGCCCTAAGCAGACAAAGAGAACCTAGAATGACCGCTTCTTGCATTCGGTCTGCCAGCCACTCGGTTGATTTTTGACAGGCCGGTATGGTCTTCAATTCCGAGAGCAATGTAGGCTTTATCGCTCCAAGTATACTAATTATTAGAACGACTATCTTGACCCAGTAGCCTGGGTACAGCAATATCTCCAGGTATGTAAGGCAGCACTGCTGTCTGGTCTACACCATACAAGTGCCTTAGGTGGTAATATAGCACTCGTAATGCCGCGTTATGTCGATGGATGTAGACCGAAATCGCATATATGGGACACGCTGAAAGTAAGTGCATAAGTGATTCCGTGGCCTGACAGCGGGTCCTGCAGTTGAAATTCATTGTATCCTGGCGGGATACAATGAATTTCTCCGTCTCCGTGTTATGCCCGACTGACCTTGAATAGACGAATGTCAGCCTGGTCGATAAGCCCAGTGTTTCTATGTTCTTATAGAAGACACCATGCTGTGATTTATCAACGTGCTGTCGAGTTTATCTGCGACTCTTTTTCCTACCTTGAATAATCCTGCTTCCACTCTTACAGTGTCAGTTTCACACACCAATAGGGGATTTATTAATGTTATAATTATTAATATCTGCTTCAATTATAATGAGTGTAATCAGTCGGCTCAACTGTTGTGTAACTGTTGAGTATCAATTGTTTTTTATTGGTGATTTTTAAATCGAGAACCAATGAGGTTTGGGACTACCTCAACAGTAGAGTCAACTGAATGCACCCAATGAGAATGTAAGCAATTAAAATAATTTCTTTTCTCTCTCTCTCTCTCTCTCTCTCTTTCTCTCTCTCTCTGATGGCCACCCAAGTGTACAACTGAACCTTTAGTTACGTCTCATATTTAATGATAATTATATTATGGTTAAATGATCCAAAATTTTAGAACTCGGAACAGAAATACGAGGGCGTTCACAATACCTATCTCAGAAGTTATTTGTAACTAAGGTTATTATTTTAAACAGACTTAAAAATTTTAATAGAAAAAATACTTAACAAATGCAGCTCTTAAATTTAAAGCGTATAAGCCATTTTGTAAAGTAGCAAATATTATGTTCTAATTTTCTGAATACTTAACTAAAAGTTTAGATGCTAAATCTAACAAATAAATAAATAAAAAGATATATTGCTTTCAGAATCCAGTTAGATTGTGTTAAGTTCGGTTAATAAATACAACACAGAAATATCCTGGAAATGCGAAAAGTTAAAAGTAATTACTTTTAGCTCTGATTCCATATCCAAAAGACTAAGAGCGTTAAAAGTTTAAGTGCAAATTTGTATTTAGATTCCTCTCAACTGTTGGATTTTCAGTGGTTACGAATTTATAAAAGTTATCATTTCATCTTCTAAATGGAAAATGGATCATTTTAAATAAATATAGACTTAATAGGCTTGTTAGTATATCCATTCAACTATTTTTACACTTCACTCGGTGGAATGAAACCAAGTTCTACATAAAGATAATAATAGGTTAAAAAATAATACATGCAGATATGTGTTCATATATAGACCTAGACATACTCCCATATACATATACATAAAATATTCAGACACACATAATACGTACATAATACTTTATTATGATCAAAACTACAAAAGCCATGTAATAATTTGGATAGTATAAAATATGCATGGAACATAAAAACAAAGAGGAAATAAACAGTCTTAATATTCGATTAAAGTGAATCCAAAATTATATTAATTTAAATTAATCCTAATATTTCGCTCATTTAACAGAAAATGTTATAATTTTTGAAAATACGATTATCAGATTTACATGGTGGAGAGAGTTAATTTTTGTGGCTAGTTAAGGAAATAAAAATGTATGCGATTTATGATCACATTTTTCTAAACGACAAATGAATCGGCAGTAGAAAATATGTAATTATTGGACACGTAGTAATAAATCCGGGAATGCACACCTTACAATTGGTAGACACGCCTTCCCTACGCTAAATCCCACCGCGGACGTAAAGTCAATTTTTATTTTCAAAATAAAAAAATAATTATTTTGAGCAGGCTTTTTGGAATTTTTCCTATGTACATACAATCAGCCACAGGTTCTCTGTAAACTGACATTTTTAATTATTAAAATTTTTTTTATGTTTTATGAATTATAATACATTGTTTATTTCTGTGCTGGAAATGCCTCCATGCAGAATAATAAAAGGTGGAAAATGACATGAGCTGCCACAACGCCAGCAACCAGGAGGGCCCAGCCGTACCTGGACGGTATTGTCATTCTGGCTGGATACCATTTTTTGTTAACTTTGCCCCTCATTTTAATAATAATAATAATAAAAAATTAAATAATTAAATTAATATCAAGAATAAAATACACGAAATAAAATTATCTACAATACAACGGAGTGGAATAAATTACTTATTACACGTAATTTATGAGTGGAAACATAGCTTGGATGAAGATAATGTTATATCAGTAATATTTCTGGATTTTAAACGTGCATTTGAGACCATTGACAGAAATTGATTATTAGAGAAATTATCGAAGTATGGGTTGAGTGATGTAGTTTTAAAATAGTTCAGTAATTATCTAGTTGGTAGAAAACAGAAAGTTAAATGTGAAGACATTGAATCCGAGGAAGAGTTGGTCGAAAATGGTGTCCCACAAGGGAGTATATTGGGTCCTCTCCTGTTTATATTGTATATAAACGATAATAAAATACTGTAAATTTCACTTGTTTGCAGACGATACTATGATCTATATATCTGGTATCGATCAGTTTGAGATTGACAGAAAATTGAATGAAGACATAAAGAATATAACTAATTGGTTAGAAATAAATAGATTGAAACTGAATGCAGAAAAGACAAAAACGCTAGTATTAGGAAAGCAGA